ATTAAGAAGATCAATCTGGTCAATTCAAATGATCAGTGTTTCAGAAACCGGGCGTCAGTCTTAATCTATCCCACTAGGGGTGATAAGGATAGGAGGGACAATTATTATTGGCATTGGCAATTTTTTTTTTTTACTATCGACCGCCTGCCAGACGTCAACGCTCCTTGGGAACGAACACCCGTACTGGAAAGTGGAAAGGTTTTTAAATTATATGTATGTCACACAAATACTTATTCCATGTGGGAATCGAATCCACGACTCCTACCGACGGAAGTATATAATTAAATAGCTTAGCCAATTGTGCCATATATTACTAAGTAACAATCAATGTTACTAAGTAACAGTGTTGTTTATTGAATATCTAGCAAGATAAATAAATGCAATGCACCCATTAAACCTTTGACATCCATGATAAGAAGCAAGTGCAACAACCAAAAATACTTTATATTGACTTTCATTTTTTTTATCACAACACTGTCAAACACTTGATGACTCAATGATGAATAAAAGTTTACACTGTGACAACCAAAAAATAATGAACCTAGTTACAGTTGGAACTTACAAAGTAATAAGTAGTGGTCATGAGTAGGACTCTATGAAATACTAAGGCCGTCAATCAGCGCTCAATAGAGCATTATGACGACATGCCGTTAGATTAAAGATACGTCGAGCAGTAATAGAATGGTCACTTAACTTTTTCTAAGTTCGCCGAATTGTATGGACGTCCAGGAACTGCTCCGCGTTCCGCCATATTGTGATAACGACCTCACAGAAGACCGGCGTAAAATGGAAGTGTTGTACTGCCGCGTTTCGTCTGGTTCGTGAGGTAGCCGGGGCCCACTTTATTAAAAGGTGACAACTCATCTGCAACCCTACGGGTGTTGCAAATGTCCATGGGCGACGGTTATCACTCAACATGAGGTGAACCGCCAGCTCGTTTGCCACTTTCTCACATTAAAAAAATGAATAAATGACCTATAGAAATGAAATATGTTCATGTTATTTCCATTTTCATGTTTGTAACAGCAATTTAGAAGATACAATTAAAAAAATAAAAATGTCATGATTTTTGAATAATAAATAAATACGGAATATATTTCGTAATAGTGAGTGAAAAAGTGTGACATAGACCCATCTAGCAGCGCGCCTATGCGCTCTTTGTTCACCGTGTGGAAAATGATATGATAGAAACGAAACAACGCCCCGCTATGGTGTGATGTTTTGGCTGTCGCATTCCAGTTGATTTGAATGAATTTAGTTTATAGTTACAAATGTATTACTTCAATCGATACATGAAATCAACAATAACGTCACCAACCTTATAAAAAAGGGGGCCCGGATTACATAACTTTAACCGCTAAAAAGTTCCCTTTTTTCCGTGACTCCTCATTTTTCTCCTCTTCCGCGGTCAGTTGGAAAATAAGGCCAAATTGGCCTCAAAGAAGCTCGGTGTACTCAGCAAGGCGAGACAGTACTTCACGTCGGCTCAACGCCTAAACCTTTATAAGGAGCAAATTCGGCCCCACATGGAAAACTGTCACCTCTGGGCGGGAGCCCCTTATTACCAGCTTCTTCCATTTGACCGCATCCAACGTAGGGCAGTTAGGGTTATCGTCGATCAAAGTCTTTCCGATCGGCTTAATCCTTTGGCTGTGCGTAAAGATGTTGGATCACTCTGCATCTTTTACCCCATCTATTACGGGAAGTGTTCCAAGGAATTGTTTGGATTTTTCCCGGCAGCTGAATTTCACCATCGGAAATCACGCCCAAACCCAAAATTTCGTCCACACCACCTCGATGTCCAACATTTCACAACAGCGCGATTTTCAAGGCGTTTCCTGCCTCGCACAACCACTCTGTGGAACCAGCTGCCGGCGGCCATCTTTCCGAACCGTTACGACCTGGGAACCTTCAAGAAGAGAGCATACTCTTTCCTAAAAGGACGGCAACGCATTTGTAAGCCCTCTGGTGTTGCAGAAGTCCATGGGCGGTGCTGATCACTTACCATCAGGTGAGCCTCCTGCTCGTTTGCCAATTTTTTCCCATAAAAAAAATATTTCCATTTCACGCCGGTCTTCTGTGAAACCGTAGTACTTAAACGGATGAGCCTAGCCATTCGTGCAACAGCCGAAGCTGCTGCGTAACTGTACCACAGAAAATTGTTTGTCTTTTATTTCGTGTTCTAAAATTTATTATACATGGCTGTTTTCAATCGAGAAAATTAATCGAGAACATGTTTTGAAAGTAATGGCCCATCATGATGAATGATTAATTTTTTTGCTACTTTAAGATGTATAAATTTTGCCTTAAAATCAAAAAACGACTGTGTTAAAATCGAAACATTTATTAAAATTGAAAATTATTCTATTATTTTAATAATACAATTATTCACTTTCGGCATTGAACAGTACGTGAATTAATAAATGAAAAAGTTCAAACATTGAGTTCCATCTTTATGTTCATTAAACTGCATTATTATAATAATTAGTTTTTGTGAACTCTTGGAAAAGATGACATTTAACATTGTAAGAATGTTTTTAAACAAAAAATTTACGAACTGATAAAGAAATCGATACTATTCCCCAATTTTCTTACACCTTCTTGAAAATTTTGATTAGTACTTAAATATGTTTGTAAAGAAACTACGGGTCAAAACTACGACCTATAATTTTGTTTTATGTGACGTATTAATTTTTTTTTAATGTGAAATGTTGCCAAGCGAGCAGACGGTTCACCTGATGTTAAGTGAATACCGCCGCCCATGGACATCCGATACATCCGAGGGTTGCAGATACGTGGAAAACCTTTTGGAAATTGGGATCCGGCTAACTCACTCACCAGACGAAACACGAAAGTATTATACTTCCACTTTACACCGGTCTTCTGTGAGGTCATGGTACTTACCCGGACGAGCCTGCCCATTCGTGCAACAGCCGAGGCTGCTGCGTGGCCCTACTTATAATGACACCCTGTCTCTTGCCTCAGAGGGTGTGGGTTCGATCCCCATTATTGGAAAAATATTTTGTGATAAACATAGTGTTTTTCTAGTGTAGCCTGGGTGTTAAATATAAAAAATACTTATTCCTTTACAAAATAAAAGTACGTTTAAGTATGTTTATCAGTTATCTAGTACCCACACGCCCTACACTACCCGCACAAGCTTGGTTTGGGATTAGATAACGTTGTGTAAAAATATGTCCCGTGATAAAAAAAAAGAAACTACGCGAAACTAACACTTTGAATTACAGCACATCACCATCTTTGATCTTATCTTTTATGTATATATATAATGCTAAGAAAATAACACTAAACTAGTTCATAGAGCCGTGATAATTCAGTATCGGGTCCTCGCCTTTAATTGAATTTACTCAAGCAACCTGAGTTCGATCCCCGGTGCCAGCACAAATGTTGTGATAAGTAATGCACGTGATAAGTCAGCAATTCAAATTGTTAATTTGAAGTGCTGACTTATAACGTGCTTGGCAGTGAAATATAACATCGTGAAGTGGGCTCATTGAGCCCACTCTGGATGCGTGCTGGAGGGTGCAGGGGACAGGTCGAGGGTGGTAGTGGTGGAGTCACTCTCCTTGTCCTCTGCTTCCGAGGAGGAATCGCAGGGTAAGAGGGTAAGAAGCAGGGTAAGAAACGTGGTGAGTGGCGGAGTCACAGACCAGGTCCGTCGCTGGGGGCTGGGAGGCTTGCTGCTTATTGGTACTGGCTCCCTTGGCCCCTGGTCAGCGAACGCGGGCCCGAAAAAGGGGCCGAGTAGGAAGGCGCGCTGAATGTTACAGCGCACCTTACCTGGAGGAGAGGGGAGTTGATCCCCGGGAGGGGGCTGCTGAGGCGGCCAGTGCTGGTAGGGTCGCGGAAGTATACGAAAGCGTTCCCGTGTCCCTGCCGATATGCGTCTAGGTGGAACATCGTGAGGGTTTTAATCGGTGCGAGTCCGACATAATCCGCTCTTGCCCCGGTGAGGGCGGGTATGCGTAGGCAGATCCCCCACGTCAACAAAAGAAAGGAGATGACTCCGAGACGCAGTCGCACAGGTATCAGCTTCGGCGTCAGGGCTTGTGGGTTCGATTCCCATACGGGACAACTATTAGTATGACCCACAGATAGTTGTTTCGCATCTGGGTGTTTGTCCGTGTAAAATTTATGTTTGTAAAACGTCCACGTTACAATAAGGGCATAGTTTTTTAAAGAAAAAAAGGAGATATTTCTAATTGAAAATACCCCTGTCGCGAATATGAATTACGAGTATTGCATCGACATTTATTATAAGGCGACTCAAAATTTGAAATTTTGTTTGACGATTTAATAAGATAAAAAAATATATAAACATTGTTTTGTTTCTAAATAACATGCCCAAAACTACCTACCCCGATTTGTAAGCAAGCTGTAGCTCTTATTGCCACTCGGAGAATTGTTCGATAATATTCAGATTTAACCTTTTTTCATCTTCAACAAATATTATTTCTTGGAACAACCATTTTCCAGTATTTAGATACCTTCTGACTCATAGATTTTCATAAAAGCAGGTGTGATAGGTTGAGAGAATGAGGTGGCCACGCTATGGAATTGCTGCCATTGACTTTCTATGGAAAAAACATCTACATAAACTTCAAGCAATAACTCTCACTGGCAGTTCTAAATAAATATTTAAATTGTACCACGAAACCATGAATATGGTTCGGCCTCAAATCAAACTAACTATTAAGGCACAGCCTATGGGCAGTATACAATGAGTGCTATATTTGATATTAAATATGTATTTCATGGCAACGTAAACATATAAAAATACATTGTTTGCAAGTTCAATAGGTTATCTGAAAAAAAAAACTATGCAGAACCAGAAAGTGTTGATGTCCTTTGTTAAATACTATTATCAATAAACATAACATTTATAACGAAGGTCAGTAACAGCGGACGACACAAAAAGTATAAATACTCTTTAAACAGTGTAAGGAACACAGTTGTATCAGCGTTTACTCGGCTGTACAATGAAGTCGACTGTACTGCTGATAATAGGGCTTGCCGCCTTCGCTGCGGCTCGACCCGAGGGGGATGATCAAGACTTTGGTAAGTTATCGCAATTAGTTTTTTTAATAATATTTTTTTTTAGTTATTCAATATGCTGTTAACATGTTTTCACTTTAAAATAATGGTAAAATGGCTGAGTTACTATCGCCGGTTCTTCTTATTTGAATTTTGAATTTCAGTCAATATTTAATCAATGGGAAATGCTTGATTGAATAAAGATATTGTAATTTGTTGTTTTAAATTTTCAGCAAATATGGATATCAAACAAAGGCAATTGTTCATCTTGAAACTGCTAAACCATGTCATTGAGCCGGTCATGTACAAAGATATTAAAGAAATTGGCACGAACTTTAAAATTGAAGAGAATGTGGACTTATATACTGTGAGCCTTTTATCAAAATTATTTCTTAAACTTTTTTAATCAAAAACGTTCTCTTATTATTTTTCTTTTTCAGAGAACTGATGTTGTTAAAAATTTTGTTAATTGTTTTAAAATTGGAACACTGCCACGAGGTGAAATATTTACCATCAATATCGACCGACAACTAAAGGAAGTTGTATCAATGTTCCACCTTCTGTACTACGCAAAGGATTTCACTACTTTCATTAAGACTGCTTGCTGGATGCGTATGTATCTAAACGAAGGAATGTTCGTATATGCCCTAACAGTAGCTGTCAGACAACGTGATGACTGCAAAGGCATTATTCTGCCTCCACCCTATGAAATCTACCCGTACTACTTTGTTCGGGCTGATGTTATCCAAAAAGCTTATTTACTGAAGATGAAGAAAGGATTACTTGACCAGAAGCTTTGTGATTTCTACGGAATTAGGAAAACAGAAAAAGATGTGTTCATTATTGATGAAAACGTCTTCGACCAACGTGTTTCCTTAAACGATGAAGACAGGCTTAGATACTTCACCGAAGATATCGATCTCAACACGTACTACTATTATTTCCACGTCGACTACCCATTCTGGATGAAGGATGACATTTTGGACAAATTGAAAGTAAGGAGGTGGGAATTGAACTTCTACATTTGTCAACAAATTCTTGCCAGATACTACTTGGAGCGATTGTCCAACGGCTTAGGCGATATTGAAACACTGTCTTGGGATAAGCCTGCAAGGAAAGGATATTGGCCATGGATGGTCCTTCACAATGGTGTGCAACTTCCTCTTAGGCCAAACAATTATGTTCTTGTTGGTGATAATGACATCAATACCGTTCGCTTAGTTGGTAATTACGAAATGATAATTAAAGAAGCTATTATCAAAGGTCATATAGAAGTGAGTATGAGTATAGAGTTATTTATTATCTAATGTTCAGTTCAGAGATCATTAATCTAAATATTTTTGTTTCAATAGATCAACGGTGCCCGACTAGAATTGACTAAACCTGAAGATGTTGAAACGCTTGGCAAGATTGTTTTTGGCAAAATTGACAAGAGCGACAATGTTGACAAGTTACGCATCGATGCCTACCGCTATTTACTTATAATTATGAAATCTGTGATTGGACTTAACACTATGGATTCTGATAAGTAAGTAAAATAAATTTTACATACTTCATTCTCATGAACATCGCATAACATAGGTGGGCTTGCATTGCCAAAAATTGTAAGGAGAATAGACTTTGATTACATTATTCACTAGATGAAATACAAAAGTATAAAATTATTTCATACTACGCTTTCTTTATGATTTACTAGTCAATCCCGATAAGCCGGTATTTTCATGTTGTAGAAAACCTGCTTCTTACTGTTTTATTACATTAAATCTAATTGACAATATTCTTATTCACTCATTATTACTTTTACAGATACTTTGTGAACCCTACTGTACTTGATTCGTACCAGACTGCCTTACGTGATCCCATCTTCTACCAGCTACAGAAACGCCTTTGCAATTTGCTGATTCTCTTTAAGAGACGCCTTCCTTCCTACACAAGGGAAGAACTCTACTTCCCCGGAGTCAAGATCGAGAATGTTGTTGTTGATAAATTAGTGACTTACTTTGACGATTACCTTATGGATATGACTAACGCTGTTGTGCTCACTGATGAAGAACTTAAAAAGACCACGTCGGATATGGTGTTCATGGTACGCAAGCGTCGCCTCAATCATCAACCATTCAAAGTCACCCTAGACATTATGTCTGATAAGGCTGTTGACTCTGTAATCAGATTGTTCTTGGGTCCCAAAGAAGACAATCTGGGACGTTTAATCGATCTTAATCGTAACCGTGTAAACTTTGTCGAGTTAGACTCCTTCTTGTACAAATTAAACACTGGTAAGAACACGATTATCAGAAACTCCATTGATATGCATAACTTGGTTCGTGACCGTATCATGACTCGTGATATCTGGAAGAAGATTGAATCAATCACTGATATAAAAGACTTGCTCATCAAAGACTTAAGAAACTACCAAACTGGATTCCCTACAAGGCTGCTACTTCCTAAAGGTCGCGTTGGTGGATTGAATTTCGTGCTTTACGTCATTGTGACTCCATTGAAATTAGTTGATAACGTGGACATATCAATTCTAGACACTAATCGAAAGGATCTCGTCGTTGACTTCAGATCCACTGTACTCCTTGACAAAATGCCTTTAGGTTTTCCATTTGACCGTGAAATTGAAGTTAATAAATTCTTTACTCCGAACATGAAATTCGTCGATGTAGTCATTTTCCATAAGAAACAAGTTTGTGACATGAAGACACGGTGGGACCGATTTGTTATGAAGAACTATAATATGAATGACCGCAGTGTTGGTGGAAATGATGAATACAACGTAAATGTTGACATAAATAAGAAATCAGACACCGATGTTAACCTGTTTGACTTGTAAATCCTTCTATCAGAATGATTCGATTAATGATTACAGTCATTTGTTACTGAAAGCGCAATAATATCATATATGAACTATACTTTTGATTTTTCTTTATTTCCCTATTTCATTTGATATTGCAAAAAATACCTTCATTGCTAAGAAAATAAATTTACAATTGTATGTTAGACTAACCAAGATAAACCATGAAGGTCTTAACTTTGCTAAACGGTTCTTCTTGTGAGTAAGGTATCCGGGGCCCACTTAAGTAAATGGTGGCAATACACCTACAACCTTATGGGTGTTACAAATTTCCATAGGCGGCGGTTATCACTTAACATCAGGTGAACCGCCAGCTCACTATCCATCTTCTCACATTAAAAAAAGATAGTCTGCATTAGTTTTTTTTTTTAATGTGAAAAGATACCAAGCGAGCAGACGGTTTAGCTGATGTTAAGTGAATACCGCCGCCCATGGACATCTACTACACCCGAGGGTTGTAGATGCGTTGACAACCCTTTGAAAATTGTTCTAGAACAAGACACAGAAATCTGTACATACATATAATAAAAATGTAACTGATCGTTGTCCGTACATGGAAGATATTTGAGAAAATATATTATCAACGCAATAGAACCAAAAACAATGATTTTTAAAAATTTTATCTGTTAGTCTGTGCGTTTGTGTGCGCTAATCTCAGAAACGGCTAAACCGATTTAGGCGCAACTTTCACTAATGCATTGTGGTAAGCTTCACTTAACTTTTAATGTTAGTTTCATTTAAATGTGTCTAAAAATTAAAAAAAAAGTTATATCAACTTATAGAACCACATTGAAGATATGTGCGATAAAATCCTATATAATAGCTACAGTTGAATTAGATGAAACTATAAAATGATGATGAGTTAATATAAAGTTCAATCAAATAAAAAAACCATGGCCATTGTATTTGAGCCCACTTAAATATTTTTTTATTCTGTATTTTACTATTTGTTGTTTTAGCTGCAACAGAAATACATCATCTGTGAAAATTTCAACTGTCTTACTATCACGGTTCATGAGATAACAGACAGTCAGACTAACAGCGGATTCTTAGTAATAGGGTCCCGTTTTACCCTTTGCGTACCGACCCCAAAAATGAACAGTTTTAATGTTCGTTGACCTCAGAAATATATCATCTGTCATCTGTTATATGGCTGCAGCACATAAAATCATGAACCGGTGCGGCGAAACTCTCTAGCCACTAAGCTAATTTATTAAAAACTTAATTAAACCGGCTGATTTAACTTAATTAAACCGGCCCACACCGACGAAATTCTCGACGTCCTTTATATACATCTTTTACTCGCTATTCACGGGGACTACTGGTCAAATTTTAAAAGTTCTTGCACTGTTAGATAGCCCATTTATTGAGAAAGGCTATAGGCTAATCTTTAAGCACAGTATAAAAATGCAGGTGGAGCTGCGGCCGAAAAGCTAGTTTATAATAGATTCAGTTCATCTTTAGTCGATGGCATATGTCATGTAAGGAATCTTTCTTAGTTTTAGAAATTATCGTAGTTCATAGTAGTTATGTGACAATATGGTTGTAGCTTTTAACAATTTCCTCCTCTTAAAATGTGAAGATGCAAAAACACTGAACGCACCCAATGACATTTGCAACACCTATAGAGAGTTGCAGATGCGTTGCCAACTTTTAATAAAATGGTACCTAACTCACTAGAAGAAACGCAGAATTATAACACTTCCATTCCACGCCTGCCTTCTGCGAGATCGTGGTACTCACCCAGATGGACCTGCCTATTCGTGCAAAAACGAATACTTGTGTGGTCCTACCATAGTTATACTTAACTTTGTTTTAAAAATCAATACAACATTTTACCCTCCGTTATATTATCCTTCAAAAAACTTGTAACTCGTCATTTAAGTCCCAAAAATCCAATCTTAGCGGATGCTTACGCTATAAAATAATTCTATATTTCTCTGATTATTAATATGCAACGATGTAAAAAAAAGATGTAGTATTATTATTGATATTTTGCTGTTAATAATAATGTAATTAAAGAAATACCGTGTTTTAGTAGACAATGAGGAATTTACAGATTCACGGATTTATTAACTGTAAAGGGACCACATAGCAGTCGTTAGCGGTAAAAGAAACACAACAGATGGCGCTAAGCATTGATTAAAATGCAATAAAATCAAAGTCGATAAATACGTTGGGTTTCGTCGGTGACATATCGTTTATCTCAGTAGCTAGAGTATCGGTGCATAGCCCGGAAGATGCAGATTCAAATCCTGGTAGTAGCGAAAAATTTTTTGTCCAGTTTTCTTCAAATTTATATATTCTCATTTATTTATAAAAATTATTGACCCTTATATGTTGTAAGGCTAATATCGAATCAAGATAAATAAATACCCTAAATTCTCCCCAGTTTTATTTCATAGAGTAGGACATTAATGATAATGCAAAAGCTATTTGCATGCATAGTTGTTTTTTTTTTTTTAATTTAAAAACTGGCTAGCACTTGACTGCCATCCCACCTGATGGTAAGTTGCGATGCAGCCGTTGATGGTAAGCGCGCTAGCTCAGTAGAAAACTATTCACTCTTGCCTTGAAGACGCCAACGAAAACAATAAATAGTCTACTTAACTTTACATTGTACATGTTGAGAAACAGACTTACATGTGCCTCGATTAAATCGGAAGCCAAATTGAGTACCAGCCTGTATGTCTTCTTCAGAAAAGGTCAGCAAGCGGTTTAGTAGAATTCGAGTAATGGTTGTTTCTGGAGAAGTCAGTAGGCAAATTCCTTTGTAATAATTACGATGGTTCGGTAAACGGGGAAAAAATTTGTTAAGTTCTGAACCTAGGTGAGGTGGTATATGGTCTGAATATGATCACAATGAGGTAGTATTCACCTCATTGTGATCATATTCATCAACAGTGATATAGAATCAGATAAATAAGAACGTCGCATGTGTGCTCTCAGGTCAGATTAGGACTATAATATAAAGTACCTGGAGGGCCGAGCTTCGCTCGGTTTGTTTTTTTTTTTTTTTTTGTAAATCGTGTATTTTGGAAATTACATTTAGATACAAATTACTGAGTAATGGAAATATGCATAATATTTTTCGATCTTACCGACCTAATAATAAGAAAATATGAACTGGTGTTTTTCACAAAAGAAACAACTTTAAAAAAAAGGGAAAAAAATAACAAAATCCTCTGGATCAACAAAAAATAAAAAATAAAGAAAGCAATAGTCTGGAATCAAAAAAAAAGTAAAAAAGAAAGAGTGTTTAAATGATCGTGACACAAACCACGGCCGTCTGTTTTGGGGCCGCCCGATTACCGACCTAGCTATTATGACATTTTTTCTTGCGGCGTAATTTATCGTCATATTCGAACGATATTTTTCATTCCCTGAAAACAGGGATAAAAGGAAATTTTCTAAAAATGAAACCTAGCTAGATCGATTTTTCGCCTCCGAATCTACGCACATACTAAATTTCATGAAAATCGCTGGAGCCGTTTCCGAGATTCCAATTATATATATATACAAGAATTGATCGTTTAAAGGATAAGATAATTTTTGGAAAGTGAATGATCGGGGCAGATCTGATATTTTTGAAGTTGACATGAGGTTTATAATGTATAATGAATGTAAAAAGTTCTAACAATTACATTTACATCTAACAAGTATATTTTAAGATTAAGACTGTACAAAAGTCTGGTAAACGTGTGGTAAACTTAACAATAAAAGTATAGATAGGTATAAATAGGATTTATAGCACTTTATGTATATTTTTATATATATATATATGATAGATTTAGAATAGATATAGATCTTTCTGAAGGTGCGTTGCCAACACAATTATAAGGTGACTTCTTACAATGTAATGTACTGTATTTTTGTGTACAGTTATGTTATCACCAGTGAAATATTGTTACCACAGCTTTCTTGATAAGTTTTGTAAATATTTATAAATAAGAGAAAATAATGAGGTCAATTTGAACAGGTCAAATTTCAAGTATAAATACAGTGATACCTGTGTAGAGCCATAATAATACAACCCTTGGCTTGACAACACGATGAAGTCGATCGCGTTGTTAGTTTTAGGTCTTGCGGCCATGGCTGCGGCTCGACCTGAGACGGACAACTTGCAGGGTAAAATATATTTATTTAGTAATTAAATGATAATTAAACAAATCCCTTTTTTGTATAAGAGGATATATTATGATTTTTATTTGTATTTCACACTCAACTAAACTACTAACTTATGATACGTAGTATTAGTGTTTGAATGTTACAGTATAAAATGTGTAAATATAGTGGCGAATTTTGTTTCGCTGAAAGGATCCGATGGCGCCTTCCGGGTTACGCATCCAAACGCTCTAGTCACTTAGCAGTTTATACTCCACCGCTTATCGACTTTGTTTTTTATTGCATTTCAGCAATTCTTGACTTAATTTATTAATCTGTTCATTTTAATTTTATTATCATATATTTCTTATTGTTTAGTCTCCATGGACATCAAGCAAAGACAAGTGTTTATCTTGAAATTGCTGAACCATGTCCTAGATCCAGTTATGTACAAGGAGATTGAAGACATTGGCAGGAACTTTAAGATCGAAGAAAATGTTAACCTATTCACCGTAAGTGCTAATTTATTAATTCATGTATTAGTTTACTTTTTTTTAAAGATATGAATTAATACAGAGACTGTTTGTAGAAAAGTGACGTCGTCAAGACGCTTGTCAACAATTTCAAGGTTGGAATGCTTCCACGTGGTGAAATATTTACAATTCACATTGATCGGCAACTGAAGGAAGTTGTGTCAATGTTCCACTTACTCTACTACGCGAAGGACTTTACCACCTTTATCAAGACTGCTTGCTGGATGCGTCTATATTTAAACGAAGGAATGTTCGTCTATGCTCTTACAGTAGCTGTAAGACATCGTGAGGACTGCAAAGGCGTTATTCTACCCCCACCTTATGAGATATACCCATACTACTTCGTTCGGGCTGATGTTGTTCAAAAGGCATATCTACTGAAAATGAAGAAGGGTTTACTTGATAATAACCTATGTGATTTCTATGGAATAAAAAAAACAGAAAAAGGTGAATACATTATTGATGAAAACATTTTCGACCAACGTGTCAACCTAAATGACGAAGATGGCCTTAGATACTTCACTGAAGACATCGATCTTAACACTTACTACTACTATTTCCACGTTGATCATCCATTCTGGATGAATGACGACATGTTCAATAAGTTGAATGTAAATAGAAGATGGGAACATAACCTTTACATTAGTCAGCAAATATTGGCAAGATACTACTTGGAACGTCTTTCTAATGATTTGGGTGATATTAAGACTTTGTCATGGAATAAACCTGTTAGAAAAGGATACTGGCCCTGGATGGTACTTCATAATGGTGTTCAACTAGCGATGAGACCAAACAATTATGTTCTTGTTAACGACAATGATATCAACGTCGTCCGGTTGGTGGAGGATTATGAAATGGTTATTAAGGAAGCAATTATTAAGGGCAATATCGAGGTAAAAATTTAATACTTTACTACGTTGTATAGAACATTAATATTATCTATATATATATAAAAAAGATTAACCCACACTGACAACTATATTTTTCACAGATTAATGGTGTCCGATTGGACTTAACTAAACCCGAAGACATTGAAGCCCTGGGTAAGATGGTTTTCGGTAAAATTGACAAAAATGATGCCAACAAACTTCGTCTTGATGCTTACCGCTATCTAATTGTTATTATAAAATCCGTCTTGGGACTTAACACTTTGGACTCAGACAAGTAAGTTGCATATTACTACATTATGATACAGACGTAACATTTCATAAAGTAAGATTTTTTAAATTAATCTAATAAAAAAAAAATAAAAATTGTTAAATATATTAGTTAATCATATTTTTCAATTTATTATAATGGAATATATCTACTCCTCATTTTTGCTTTAAAATACTTTTAACAGTAATTTTTAACCCAGTGGTTATTTTTCAGATACTTTGTAAACCCTACTGTACTCGATACGTACCAGACTGCCTTACGTGATCCCATCTTCTACCAGCTACAGAAACGCCTTTGCAATTTGCTGATTCTCTTTAAGAGACGCCTTCCTTCCTACACAAGGGAGGAACTCTACTTCCCCGGAGTCAAGATCGAGAATGTTGTTGTTGATAAATTAGTGACTTACTTTGACGATTACCTTATGGATATGACTAACGCTGTAGTGCTCACTGATGAAGAACTTAAAAAGACCACGTCGGATATGGTGTTCATGGTACGCAAGCGTCGCCTCAATCATCAACCATTCAAAGTCACCCTAGACATTATGTCTGATAAGGCTGTTGATTCTGTAGTCAGATTGTACTTGGGTCCCAAAGAAGATAATTTGGGACGTTTAATCGATCTTAATCGTAACCGTGTAAACTTTGTCGAGTTAGACTCCTTCTTGTACAAATTAAACACTGGTAAGAACACGATTATCAGAAACTCCATTGATATGCATAACTTGGTTCGTGACCGTATCATGACTCGTGATATCTGGAAGAAGATTGAATCAATCACTGACATGAAAGACCTGCTTACCAAAGACTTAAGAAATTACCAAACTGGATTCCCCACAAGGCTACTACTTCCTAAAGGTCGCGTTGGCGGAATGAACTTTATACTGTACGCTATTGTAACACCATTGAAATTAGTTGACAATGTTGATATGAACATCTTAGATACTAACCGTCAGAATCTAGTCGCAGATTTCCGATCCACAGTTCTTCTAGACAAGATGCCTTTAGGTTTTCCATTTGACCGTGATATTGAACTTACTAAGTTCTTAACACCGAACATGAAATTCGTCGACGTAGTTATCTTCCACAAGAAACAAGTATGTGAAATGAAGACAAGGTGGGATCGATACGTTTTGAAGAACTATAATATGGTTGACCGCACATTAGTAGATACCTACGAATATAACGTCAACGTTGACTTAAACAAACAAACCGATGCAAATCTTTTTGATTTACAAATATAGACGATAACATCATATTATATCTCTTTAATACGAAGGAAAGATTAATATAATTTTCCTTATCGCAGATCATATCATTTTTGTACTATTCCTTGCCTCTTAATAAATTCAATTGTTTAGTTAATGCCTATTATCGTGAAGTACAAACAAGGAAATTTTAGATTGCATTCATGATCTAAAATTTCTTACAATAATGCACTTTAAGCGTTTGCATAGATACAAAACCAATACTTTTAAACATACATTATGTGAGTCAAATACTGTTCTATTCAACTTAAAGAACGAAATATTTATTTTTCATACTACGCATTACTGACGCCTGTGGATTATCTAAACCAGACTTTAATTTATCTGTTTTGATAAGAGGGGCAATTAATTATATCCCTCATTAGGAGTTTCACAGAATTTAAGTTTTGCACTCTCTTTTCTTATTAGCACTGCTAAATTCTTTTTAAACTTATTATAATCATTGGAATGCTTAAATTTTGAATATACATATTTTTCCGTCCCCTTAAAATATTTAAGTCAAATATTGAAAATCTTCGTGAACATTTATTAAGCTCTCTCTCTCTCAATTGGGATAGACATAATTAGCCTGTCGAGTGTGAGAGCGTAAGTTTTAGAATCGTTTAAGAAGGAAGAATCTCGCTTAGTTAATCCTAAATTAGCGTATATCACTCGGATTAGCGATGTTATAAAGTGAAGACAGTGTTCCAACATGCATATAATAAAACACATAAAAATTAAACATATAAATTATCCATTCATACAAAAATATACCTACTAAGTGCTTAAGGTCATCAAAGGCTGTTTGTAAATTTTAGATTTAGAGTACATCATGAAAGTTTATTTTATGCGCACAAGAGTTTAATTACAAAAATGGACAAACAATCAACTTTTAAATATTATGGACGAAAAGTACGATCACGAAACTACTCATGTGGAGTGAATATTAGCTATTTATGCACATACTTCCAGTTAGATTGCATTCCAGTTTGTTCTAACCGAATATCATATTCAACAACCAAACGACTTTTATCGTACTGGGCTAAAACCAATTAACACTTTCGACACCCTTCACCTGAGAGTTTCAAAAGAGACACCAATGCAACAAATTGCGGGCGTGCAGCCTTAAATAAATAGTACTTTAAATGAAACTTTAACAAAAATCTTTAAAAAAAAATTAATAAAAATGAAAAGTATTATACGTGCCCGATGATGGGTAGTAACAGCTCAGTATCCAGGCGCTCACTTCTAACTGACTTAACCTGAGTCCAAAAAAAATGCTCTTTTTAATTCTTTTTAATGTACCATTTTTGGCGTTCACCAAGCTATTATTTTTTTAAAGAGGAATTACACTAAGAAAACGTGATGCGAGAGAGATGAGATTTTTGCAAGCATTCAGTTGATAATTATTTTTATTTGAACGTGTAATAGTTCTTATATATATGGTTTGTGGATTTCTTTGCGTATATTTTTAAACGCCACTATTATGCAAAGTTATTAAGCTTGGTTTGGTTAAATAAAATGCATAGATTTGTAAACTTTGCACTATGTCTCAAACATATTTCATTGAAGACCAGCGTGAAGTATTGAACTTTCGCGTTCCGTCTGATGAGTGAGGTAACCGTGTCCCCTTTTTTGCAACTGCATCTGCATCTGTAGATATCCCTGGGCGGCGGTATTCACCTAACATCAGGTGAACTGCCTGCTTACTTGATAACTTTCCTTATAAAAATGTTAGAGTTACGTTTTAGAAAGGAATAGGCAGGACCGTCCACGCTTTCTTCAAATGCAGCCTCAAATCAGCAACACCAAAGATCTGAATAAAAATCAATCTCTATCACATTACCTAGCTAAAATACGATGCAAAGTCGACTTAATAGAGATACAAGCATCGTGCTGCTTAAATTATTTATCGTGCTGCATTAAAATTATGCTATAAAATTTTCACCAAATATATAACCAATTTTTAAGTAGTTTTAGAAATGAAATTTAAAAGAGTATTTTTTTGTTTATGTGCATAAAGCAAGAGCCTGATGGCTATTTAAATCAAATTAAATAAAATAATTTATCCATTATTATTATTATTATTGGGGGATATTTCTTTGTTTTCTCGTCTGGTTGGGTTTATAGATAAAAAATAAACATATAGATATATATTGCATATATAAAATAAATATTATGAATAAAAATAAACATATAGATATAAATATTGTATATAATACATATATAAATAGGACCCAACCAGACGGAAGCCCTCGGCAGGGGAGACCAAACGGCTGAGGGTTAGGGTGAAAGGGAGAGAAACCGGCGGACGATGCGGGCGGTATCGAGGAGCACCGCTTTCTGCATTAGAGCTTGGAGCGTTCCGTCCCGGAGTCCCAGTCGCCTCAGATGTCGGGAGAGGTTGACTGGGATCAACCCATTCGCAAATACGACTATTGGGATAATTTCGGTCGGCACACCACCCCACATGTCGGTCACCTCGTGAGCCAGGTCCAGATACTTCGTCTTCTTATCTGTTTCGGCTTTCACGAGGTTCTCGTCATATGGAATGGTAATGTCGACCAAAAATACCCGCGACTGTGCCCGTCCATCAACACGATATCAGGTTTGTTCGCGACAATCGTCCTGTCCGTGATGATGGACCGGTCCCAATAGAGCCTGGCGCGGTCATTTTCGAGCACGGCCTCCGGAGAGTACTTATATTAGCGCAGTTTCCGTTCCACGAAGCCGTATTTCAGAGCGAGCTCCTGGTATAGAATTCTGGCTACTAGGTTGTGTCTATGCAGATACCCAGAGTTAGAAAGCATGGAACTACCGGAGGTAACATACCGAAGCGACTCCCCGAGATGGCGACAAGCTCGACAGATATCGACGGTGCCATCCCTTAGGATGTATCTCCGATAGTTGTTCGTCTTAATAACTTGATCCTGTATCGCACAGACAAAACCTTCGGTTTCCCCAAAGAGGTCATCGAAACGAAGCCAGTTAAGGGAGGCAACAGTATCTACGAAAGACTCGTGTAGAGCCTTGTAGAACCTCCCGTGGAGCTCTTTCTCCTTCCATACGGTCTCTCGGTCGAAAACGCTCAGTACTCCCGGGTCCTGCCATTGCTCGTTGGCTAAGGATAGAGGGGTAAGTCCTTTATCACAACTAATGACGTCCTTGTAGATTGACTCATCCGATCTCGCCAGAAATTAGTTACGGAGGCTGCACACCTCGCGATTGTGCATGGTGAGGGTGCTTAAAAAGCCCCTACCGCCATGCTTCCGCGGCAGGTACAGCCTCATTACTGACGATCTCGGATGATGCATCCTGTGAGACGTCATAGTTGTGCGGACTTTTCGGTCCAGGGCGTTGAGCTCAGTTTGAGTCCACCTGAGTATGCCAAAGGTATACATGAGGACTGGCATGACCCAGCCGTTAAATGCGCGTGCCTTGTTCACGCCTGACAAATGGCTGTTAAATACCTTTGTCAGGCGTGCAAAAAACACTTCACGAACTGACTGTTTCATGCCAGCCTCATCGATACACATGTTTTGTGACATACCCAGGTATCGGTATGTTTCAGCCTCAGTGAGGGTCCTTATGTTAACGGGCATAGATAAGTCTATGCCCTCTGTATTAGCGACCTTACCCCTTTCGACATGCAGGACCGCGCACTTATCCGTCCCAAGCTCCATTTTGATAGAATTGCTGAAATCACAAGTGACTTTAAGCAATTCCATCAAATGGGAGCGATTGGAGGTGAATAATTTGAGGTCATCCATGTAGAAAAGGTGGGTCACTTTTGTCCCTCCTCTCCGAAGCTGAAATCCTCCCCCCGAGCCCTCCAGTAACACGCTGAGACGGTTCAGGGAGAGGCAAAACCATATTGGGCTCAAACAGTCGCCCTGGAAAATACCCCGTCGTATCCTTATCCGGTATTCCGCAGCCGTCATCCGCTCGCCTAGATGACAAAGGATCGTACTCCATTGCCCCATACAGTGCCCGAGGAAGTCTCTCGATATTATTATTATGGGGGGATATTCATTTGTTTTCTCTGCATTTGAGCTTGGAGCAATCCGTCCCGGAGTCCCAGTCGCCTCAGATGTTTAGAGAGGCTGACTGGGATTAACCCATTGGCAGAAACGACTATCGGGATAATTTCGGTCGGCACACCACCCCACATGTCGGTTACCTCGTGAGCCAGGTCCAGATACTTTGTCTTCTTATCTGTTTCGGCTTTCACGAGGTTTTCGTCATATGGAATGGTAATGTCGACCAAAAATACCCGCGACTGTGCCCGGTCCATCACCACGATATCAGGTTTGTTCGCGACAATCGTCCTGTCCGTGATGATGGGCCGGTCCCAATAGAGCCTGGCGCGGTCATTTTCAAGCACGGCCTCCGGAGAGTACTTGTAGTACGGCAGTTTTCGATCCACGAGGCCGTATTTCAGAGCGAACTCCTGGTGTAGGATTCTGGCTGCTAGGTTGTGTCTATGCAGATACTCAGAGTTAGAAAGCATGGAACAACCGGAGATAACATGCCGAAGCGACTCCCCGGGATGGCGACAAGCTCGACAGATGTCGACGGTGCCATCCTTTAGAATATATCTTCTATAGTTGTTCGTCTTAATAACCTGATCCTGTATCGCACAGACAAAACCTTCGGTTTCCCCAAAGAGGTCATCGAAACGTAGCCAGAATATTATTATTATTATGGGGGGATATTCATTTGTTTTCTCGTCTGGTTGGGTTTATAAATAAAAATAAAAATATAGATATATATATATATATACACCACAAAAAGTTTTATACAGTTCATATAAAATAAATCTTAAAAGCTAGGAAATAAGGCGGTCTTATCGCTTAAGAGCGATCTCTTCCAGACAACCTTAGGACAAGGAAAATAAACTTATGAATAGTGGGAGGTGGTGTGATTAATAAACTTACTTAATAACAATAAAATAAATTATAAATTATAGATGTTAAATTTGTAGCTCCGTATATTTTAAGTTTAAATTAAGTAAATTATATTATTTAATTATTTCCAAATCGTAGTAAATTACTTAGGTGTATATAATAAAGAAAAATAAGTGATAATATAGTGCACTACGGAAGGAAAGTCGTAAAAACTGAAGTCAACTTGGAGCTGTCACTGGCCCAACCGCCGAATTTTCAAAATTCTACCACTCAATCCCGGGGAGTATCTTATATTATATCCTTCTTCTTGGATCATACTAAATATAACTACAACATTACATACTACTAAACAAAACTCACATCTAGTGAGTAACGTCACTTCAACACATTTTGGCACCGTTACTGTCTCACTTTGCTTGACAAGTTGGAAGTAAAGTTGATGATAAAAACATTTGCCACAGACATCCTTACTCAAACTGACTTCACACAAATACTTCTACAGATTTAACATATATAAAACCAAAACTTAATTATAACATTCACATTAATAACTTTATAAACATTAGTACTCTTACGGTATTTAATATTTCATAAATTATTTAGAAACAGCAATATTTCTTAAATATAATACAAATTATAATAAGTAATAGCTGAACATTCATCTTAAAACAGTTATTTTGTAATAATTAAATAAATATTTAATCTCCTTGCTAAATTTTGCTAACTTTCTCTTGTATCTCTTTTTTATAATCTAATTATTAAAGCTTACATCTTCTCTTATTATTTTCTTACTTAACTTTCTCCCCATCCTCATAATCTCAGATTCATCTCTGTTAATCTTACAGAATATTAGCAATGGAGAAAGTAATGCTCACCCGCAAAGCTGCTGCTAAGGATCTTGAATATAAATTAAGAAATACATTACAAGAACTGAAAACTTCTCAAGACCTTTGCAAACAGCTGATGCAAGAGCGTGAAGAAAGCGAGGAGGAAATTCAGGTCATTATAAAAAAAATACTGAATTAAAATGTGAACTCGCTGAACTTCATAAAAGTTATATGGACATAGTGGCACAGCGGGATGAGTTAAGTGACATTGTGAGTGCATTCCATCAGTGCAGCAATGAGCATGAAAGGGCACTAAATAAAATAACGGAACTTGAAATTAATTTAAAAGAGGCAAATAACTCCATCCTCGAATTGGAACAAATTAATACATCTTGCAGTGCAAAACAAACCCAAAATCTTTATGCTGAGCTGGTGGAATGTAATTCTCAAATGCTTATAGACTTGACAAAAGATGACTCTTGTATCAAGCAATCTTGCTTTTCACACAATAAGCTTAAAAAATACATTAAAGTTAAAAGATTTATAAAGAAAACAAATAAATTATTAAGAAATAGATATACATTCAAAGAAATTTATGAAATAAAAAATGAACGGTCAAAGTTATGTAAGTTAGTAAAAATGTATCAAAATAAATTGGAACAAAGTAGGTCTGAGTATGGCCGGGTAACACTTCAGCTTCAAACTGAAATTAATAACTTAAATAGCACATTACAAATATTAACTGCTAAATATGAATCATCTCAAAAACAAATACAGGAACATATTCTAGCAGCTGATAATTTATTAGATCTTTGTAGTTATAATTATAACAGATTTGAATCATTTACTAGCAAAATACATGTTGTTGCTCCAACACAGAATCTCCAAATAAATTAAACACTCAGAATATATCTGCAGACATGGGAAGTGACCTGGTCATACAAAAAACGCAATCAGCCATCATATAATAAATTTGAAAATAAATTACATTCAGTTGTCAAATCATCCAATATCTCCAATAATAAACATAAAGTTATAATTGTATCGGATAATATAGGACAAGGTTTTGGTTCTTTACTTTCC